CTTTCTTTCTTTCTTTCTTTCTTTCTTTCTTTCTTTCTTTCTTTCTTTCTTTCTTTCTTTCTTTTTTTTTCTGAGACAGGATTTTTCTGTACCTTTGGGGCCTGTCCTGGAACTAGCTCTTGAAGACCAGGCTGGCCTTGAACTCACAGAGATCCACCTACCTCTGCCTTCCGAGTGCTGGGATTAAAAGGTGTGGGCCACCACTGCCTGGCCTCACAGTAACACTTATAAAGGAAAATATTTAATTGGGACTGGCTTACAATTTTAGAGGTTTAGTCCACTGTCATTATGGCAGGAAACATGTGGCATGTAGGCAGAAATGGTGCTGGAAAAGGAGCTGAGAGTTACGTCTTGATCAGCAGGAAACAGGAAGTGGTCTGAGACCCTGGGCATGGCTTGGGCATATAAGACCTCAAAGCCCACCTTCACAGTGACACACTTACTCCAGCAAAGCCACACTTACTTCAGCAAGGCCACGCCTCCTAATAGTGACACTCCCTGTGGACCAAGCATTCACACATATGAATCTGTAGGGGCCATTCCTATTCAAACCACCGTAAGTATCTACTTTTATATCTTTAATAGTAATTATAATTAGGGAAAGACTTATTCACCTCTTCTATACTTATTTAAAAATTAATATTGGTTTTAGCCCCAGGTTAAAGCTAAAAGCTATTTTGAATTTTGAAATAATGAATATATATGTATACATACATATATATATATATATATAATTTATCTTTTAAAAACTGGATTTGTTTCTTATTTGGTTTTGTCTATTACTTACCATGTTGTTGAAAAATATTGTCTCTCACTAGTGGTACTGATGCCCTTTTGGAACTGAAGCCATTCATCGAGGAAATCCTTCAAGGGAGGCACCTGACTTTGCCCTTCCAGGGGGTTGACACTTTCCGAAGTCAGGTTGGCTTTGTGAAGTTATTAGATGGAGATCATGTTAATACCCTTACGGAGATAGCAGGTAAGACAGACAGCGCTGTACTCAGGAAATCTCCTGTGTGTTTTCCCAGTGGTTGTCATAGAGATCTGGTGTCCTTGAATTTGGGGAGCTAGCATAACCTCACTTTGCACATGAACTGCTTTGGTGTTGGTTATTTAAGTAGCGGCTAAAAGTGGGGTAAGTTCTCTTGAGGACATTGTTAATTCTGGAGCTTTCCAGAGAAGACACTAGACTGGCGTCAAGTATGAACTGTAAGTCCAAAGGGTCTCTTTGCTTTTCATGAGATTTGAGATATAATTGATAAGTATTGAAACTGATGAATATTGAACAAATGAGTGACCATCACTGTGCTCCTATTCAGAGGCTTGTGGGAATTGTCATCTCTATTATAGAGAGCCAATCAATGGATCAGCCACGTTCTCATTTCTATAGCTCCCTTCTCCACTTTGCTGAGGAGGCTATAATTTACCCTCCTGAGTGTTGAAGGTCTCACATTTATTGGAGGGTGGGTGAATTTTGAGTTTGATTCATAGATAATAGGTTGGTGTGAACCAACAAACTACAAACGGTGCTTGTGCTGTGACCTTGTGCCATTGTATTGTAGGGCCGCTCACCCTTGGTCTAAACACACTTTCAGTCTTTGGTCTCTGCTTGGTTTACTTTTATCTTTGAGGTTTTTTTTTTAATATCCTTATGCTTTTCTTCTTCCCTCTTTTCTTTCCTCTCCCTCTTAACTGCTCTACCTACTTTGTTCCCTCTCCTTTTAACTATCTATTTAAGAAATAATTTAGTAACTGAACATCTAGTGCCAAAATGAAAGCTCAGGTGTCAGTGAACTGTTGTTGTCTTTACAGTCTCTCTCTTGCTCTGCCTCCGTTTAATTTGGCTATCATCCTGAAGTTGGTGTCTATTATTTCCTTGTATTCTCTCTAAATATATGCATATTTATTTAGGTTGATTTTAGCATAGTAAAAAGAATACCAAACTGTCTGTGACCTTTTAGGATATTCTTTCATTCTTCATGTTATATGACCTCTGTGTCTTAATAGTTGCATGTTCAAAAGCGCACCATTAGTGGAGGGATGGGTGGAGTGGGAACCAGTTTTCACTGTTGGTTTTCCTTTTGTGTTTTACAGTATTTAAGATTAGTATTCTGTGACGGCCGTGTTTTCAGAGGATTCTCAGCGTTCAGTTATCTGTTAAAAGAGAGAGTCATTAGCCGCGCTGCATTAGTACCAACTAGTATAGCCTAAGTTCGCTCTGCACCACCATTAGTACCGTCTAGTATAGCCTAAGTTTGTTTAGTGCTCTCCCTTCAGGTGTCTTAAGCAAAAGGCTGCTTATTTTTCAGTAAAAGATTTCTATTATTTACTTGGAAAATATCTTACATAAGACAATTTTATCAGAGTTATGAATATAAAACTTGCTATTGATCTTACTGGTCAAACAGCCACATTCATCTTAGGTTTTAATAAATTTATATTCTTTAAATTCATTTCTTTTGCATAATGTCAGGCTCAAGGAATTGTACTTTAGTGGGAACTTCAAGCACCAAGTAGGTTCCTGGGATAGTAAATGGAAATGAAATTCTTGATCTTCCGAGAAGCAGTCTTATACAGGAACAAATGGATGAGCGGTGTGATGGACATAGTAATGTCTGTACCGAGAGGTGGGGGCAGTGTGCTGAGGGCACATAGGAGAAGCTTACGGAGTGAGGATGTTTCCACAGGAGCCATATAGCACTGAGCTCAGGTTTGAAGGTACTCAAAAGGCATTCTGGTTAAGCAAAGTGGAGGAGGGCATTCCAGGCAGAGGAAGAATATGTGCAAAGATATCAAGACATGTTTAGAGGCTCTCAAGTAGTTCAGTTTTTTAATCTTTAAGTTTACTTATTGTTATTTTCTGTATGTGGGGCATGTGTGTCTGTCTGTCTCTATCGGGGTGTGGAACTGCTTGTGCCACGCCACATGTGTGGAGGTCAAAGGACAGCTTTGTGGAGTCGCTTTTCTCCTCTCACTTTTCCATGGGCTCTGGGAATTGAATCAGGGCACCAGCAAGGGCCTTCCTGCCTAAGCCACACCCCCTCCCCGCCCCAGCCTGTAGTTCATTTTTATTTGAATTTAAATTGCAAACCTAGGACTATCGGTAGAAGGAGATTCATATAATAAGGGAACAAAGAAAGTGAAACAATAGTTGTAGGAAGATGGTGCAAGTTTTAAATAGTGGTTAAGGAAGGAGAGGGGTTTCATGAAGCAGTGTGTGATGAGATGGCAGATCAGGGCAGGCATGTTTAGAATGGATTCCAGGGGCTCACAGTTTCTTACTTCCTTGGGTACTTTTCTGAGCATGGAATGTAGCGAGGAAGCTGAATTAATGTATGCTTGACCCTTACACGCAGATGTATTGAAGGACCGAGAGAGCCGGACAGTGTCTGATGGTGTGTTTCCTAATTTCTGTTAGAGTGAAATAAAATGGGATGGGATTGGTGTGCATGCCGAGCAGTGTCTGACACTGTGTGATCTGATAGTGGAAGAATGGGGCAAGAGGGCTGAAGATTAGTGTTGTTAATAGAAGCCTACGAGTGAGCGGATCTCTGTGAGTTGGAGGCCAGCCTGGTCTACAAGAGCTAGTTCCTGGACAGGCTCCAAAGCTACAGAGAAACCCTGTCTCCAAAAAACAAAACAAAAACAAAAGCAAAAATAAACAAAAACCAAACAAACAAAAAAAGAAGCCTGCAAATGAGAAAGCTGTAAGGGTTAGTGAGATCCAGACAACACTATATTGAATTTTGAGAATCCAGGGGAGTTGTTCTTAACAGAGGCTAATGGAATCTTCTTCCTTTACTTTTACGAAGAGGAGCAAGTGATAGAAATTCAAAGGCAAAAAATGTTTAAAGCTCACTGTAGAGTTCAGTAAGGTTACTAGATAAAGTATCAGTATAAAAATATGATAAGTAATTGAGGTCAGTAAGATGGCCCTGTGGGTAAAGGCACTTGCCACCAAGCCTGAGTTGAAGCCTCTTAGCTCACATGGTGGGGAGAACCAATTCCTGCAAGTTGTCCTGTGACCTCCATAATCGTTGTGCATGTAAACGGAAAGAATAAAAATGGCTACATTTAATTACCTAATTTTCTAATGGGCCATCATTTATAAGCAACAAGATTGTAAGAAAGCGAACGGCCCCCAAGGATGTGCTAGACTTTTGTGGAGAGAATATTTTAACTATATCTTTGCTAGGCACATTTATCAAATCCTTTTCTCATTTTCTTTCCTTTTCCTTTTCATTTGTTATGAGATAACCTCTTCTACTCTGTGAGAAATACGTTCTAGACTAAGCCAGACCATCAGCAAATTGCCTGCTTGCGTATGTTAAACTGTGTTTCTGTGGAAGTGATGTGGCAAAGTTGCTTTCAAATGTTTGTCTTCTTTTTAAGACTTCATAAGTTCATGATTTATAGAATATTTATTTATGTATTTAAAAGTAAATCTTAAATAACCTAAAAAGCAGATTGTAAAAGTGTTTTTTATTATTTTTTTATTTTTCTATGTTCTTGTTTTAAGACAAAGTCTCACGTAGTCCAGACTGGTCTCGTACTTACTAAGTAGTTGAGAATGACCTTAAACAACTTATTATCCTGACTTTATATGCACCACCGTGCCTGGGGTGGGTAGATTGAATCTAGGGCTTTGTGTGTGCTAGTCAGATTCTCTACTAACAGAACTATAGCCCCATCCCAGTGATTTATTTTTTAATTACAGTATCATAGCTGTTTTCTTTTAACATTTTTTTTTTTATTTTTAAAGAACAGGCTTCTTGTTTTTTGCTTTTTGTATCTTTTTTAAAAATTCTTACTCCATATGCATTGGTGTTTTGCTTTCATGTATGTCTAGGTGAGGATGTTGGATCCCTTGGAACCTGAAATATAGACCATTGTGAGCTGCCATGTGTGTGCTGGGAATTGAACCCTGGTCCTCCAGAAGAATAGTCAGTGCTGTTAATTGCTGAGTCACCTCTCTGACCCCAACAGATGGCTTTGATGTGATGATATTGGACGGTTAACATGTGCTTCCTGAGATAGAAAGGCTTTGCTGGCAGAAGGCTGAAGTGTTAATTTTATTCAGAGTAGAGGACACTTCATTGTCTGTCTTCCTTTGTCTTATTTTCCTTATTTTCTTATCATTTATCTTGCTAAACAGTTCTTTGGCGTCATCTTAAGTCTTATTCTGGGGTCAGGTAAATTGAAATACATATAAGCAGCCATCCAAACAATAACATTTTGAAGCCAAGTAGGATGGAAAAAACATTAGCTGACCAAAGGGAAGGCAGCTCTCAGAGCTTGGAGGGCAGATCATTCCAGAATTGATGCCCACGGTTAACAAATCTAATCTATTTTTTTCTGACGACTGAAGAGAAAATGCTAGACTTAAATCTTTTCTTTTGTAATATAAATATCACTGAAACATTTCTAATTAGTCATTCAGTCATTGTCCTTTTAAATAATTCAATGGGTGCTTGCAACATTAAGAATTCCATTCATTCTCTGCAAATCTTTTCACAAAAATATTTTCCAGCATTGGTGAAAGCTCCATTGTGTGGTGAAGAATGTGGACTCTCACCAGCTTTAATGGGAACAGCAACCGATGGATAGTCTTTTGTCATTTTAGCAAAGGCCACTGCCCTGGTGTTTCCCTTCTTTCTTCCAGATGCATTAGAGACTCCTGCTTAGAAACATTTATATTCTGAAAATTTCAGTGAAACATTACAAAAAATGAAGGATGTAGGGAAAATATCAGTGTGTGGTAAACTTACTTTTAACTTGTTATGCGAGTCTTGTATTGTTGCTTTTGTTTATAGTTTTCACATATACTTATAAGAAATCTAGATTTTTTTAATAGTCATGAGAGATTTTCATTTTTCTACACATTGAAGCACAGATTTTTGATTATTTATGTTGTTGGGAAAATAATTTTTTCTGTATCCCCTACTGGCTTGATACTATGTTACCAAGGCTGACCTTGAT